CTCAACATCTTATTATTCTCTGTCAATATTTAGGATGATAATCTCTTTGAGGGCAGGGATCCCATTTATCCTTTTCACTGCTAACATAGATAAGAGTGCTAGACAGAGAATAACTACTTTGTTCTCAATGGATTAGGGGCACTGTCTATGTTGTGCCCTCATCCTCCAGTTTTAAATCTAAATTTTATTTTAGTCTTCCTGGTTTTCGTGCCAAATTCTCTTTCTCTGTCTTCCTAATTCCTAGTTCCTGGTTCCTGATAATTTATGATAGCTATTAAGAATATAGATAGCTTAAAATTTATTTTAATGGCTTTATTGATGGAAATGTGTGCTCATAACATAATTCAATATTATATGCATACACATATATGTGTGTATGTGTGTGTATGAAGAAGTAACCCATAGTCCCAGCGCTCACATACATGTTTTCCTAACAGTGAGTAACCTTCATTTCAGACATCTTTCCATGAATATATACATATATACAAATATATGCCTGAATATATAGACATTAATGTCAGTTGTTTGCCACATCTAGTTTGTTTGTTTGTTTGTTTTCTAAATAATCATTCAGTTGTTAGTAGGCTCAAATCTCTTAACCACACTAACAGTCTTACAGGATTGTGTTGGGATTAACTAAATTAACATTTGTAAAATGTTTCAAACAGTTCTCCTTTCACACATATAGAAAGCATAATGTATGTGTTAGTTGCTATCCATTATCACCATGAGGGTACTGACCCAAAGGTGACCTGAGCTGTCATAGGCTGAAGTAGGGTAACTAAGTGGGTAGAAGAAAGAATTAAAATACTCCCTGAAGCTAGCCCCAAGCTTCTCTGTGGCAGTTTTGGAAGAGCTGAAGTCATCAGAGCAGTCTTCTGGCTAGAGAGCAGCCCCAAGTGATCTGTTACTTTGAATCAGGGTCAGTGAGATAGGGTTGCAAACAGCTATAGGCTCCTTGGGAAAATTCTGTAGATCTCAATTAAAGGTTAAACTTCACATAATATCAATGTGGAGACCTTTCTAAGTTTGGCATTTATTCCCCCTACCTTCTTCTCCTCTACCCTCACATACACACAAACTCACATGTATGCATATAGCCAGAGGAAAAACATTTCATTCTTTTGCTTGAAAACCTCCACTGCCCCTCCACTGATTTTTTTAATTTTTTTTTAAATCTGTATTTAACTTTTGAAAGAGAGAGAGAGAGAGAGAGAGAGAGAGAGAGAGAGAGAGAGAATGAGCGGGGGAGGGGCAGAGAGAGAGGGAGACACAGAATCCAAAGCAGGCTCCAAGCTCTGAGCTGTCAGCATAGAGCCTGATGCAGGGCTGGAACTCACAAACCGCAAGATCATGACCTGAGCTGAAGTCGGACACTAAACCGACTGAGCCACCCAGGAGACCCTGTCCCTCCACTGTTTACAGGAAAAAGTTCAAACTCCTTAGTTAATAGCTATTTTCACAGGATGACCCTAATACCTGCTTTCATTTTCATTTGTTACACTCCCCATAATTTTCCTGCAGGTTGACACACATTGACTGAGTGCCTGCTCTGTGCCAGGCATTCTGTTACATGCTGGGAATGGTAATACGATTGAGATACAGTTATGTCCTTGAGAAACGAATGATTCAGTAGAAGAGGCAGATAAGGAGAAAGACCATTAAAATCCAATTTGAAAACTGATGTAAAGAGGGAAGCAGAATTTGTTTTAGAAATACAGAATAGGGGGCTTATCAGTCTAAGTACATCAAGAAAGATTTCATAGAGGTGACATCTGAACAGAATAAGGAAGGGTGAGTAGGAGTTACTCAAGTAAAGGAGGAGGAGTAAGTACCTTCCAGGCAGAGAAGATAACACATGTATGGGCATGGAAGAATAAAATGGCATTGTATGTAGACAAGTATTTAAACAGCCCTTGATACTAGAAGGCAAAATCATAAAGATTTGTAAAGTGGTACTGATTGAAACTAGAAAGATCATAAGAGGGTGCGGAAGAGAGGGAATTCTGAATGCCATGTTGAAAAACTTGGAATAGGGGCGCCTGGGTGGCGCAGTCGGTTAAGCGTCCGACTTCAGCCAGGTCACGATCTCGCGGTCCGTGAGTTCGAGCCCCGCATCAGGCTCTGGCTGATGGCTCAGAGCCTGGAGCCTGTTTCCGATTCTGTGTCTCCCTCTCTCTCTGCCCCTCCCCCATTCATGCTCTGACTCTCTCTGTCCCAAAGAAAATAAATAAACGTTGAAAAAAAAATTAAAAAAAAAAAAAAAAGAAAAACTTGGAATATATCCTGTAGAGATATGAAAACACTGGTAAGTGTTGAGCAATGAAGTAAATGGGACAAATCTGTACTTTGGATACATTATCCAGCAGCAAGTTGAAAAGCAGACTTAGAGGCATGGGGCATACATTTGGGAGAAGTGAAATCAACTGGGAAATTACTGCAAGGGTCGAGTGTGAAATCTGAGAACCTAATCAAGGGAAGAGTTGTACAAATGGAGAAGAAAGGAGGGAATAAGAATATTTAGCAACTCAAATAGCTGGGCTTGACCAGTGACTGGATATGCGTGGCCTGGCATAGAGAAGAGTCTAGGATGGCTCCCTTGGTTTTGCTCACCATCTAGGAGAATGGTGGTGCCATTAAAAGCCTTGATCTGGCACACTCTAATATGATCTTCTTCACTTTTTAAAAAGTGAGCTGAAAATTATGCCTCATGATTAAGCTTTCTGGAATTCTCCCATCTTAAGTATGCCCTCCTTCATTCTTCCATAATACTTTGTTCATTCCTTATCTACCTGCAGCAGTTAGTATACTGTGTTGTTACTATTTACATATTTTTCTTCCACTAGATTATAAGTTTACTGAAAACTTAGATTGCATTTTGAATTTTAGTTCTTACTACATTTTCTGGCTCAAACTAAGGAGTTTGTTAAATTAATTCAGACTTCATTTGTTAAATTAATTAAGTCATACTTGAAAATCTCAAATTTTATGTCAAACGGATCTTGTCTTAAACCAAACTACTGATCTTTATCAAAGAATGCATTTATTTCTTCAGTTTTCAAAGCAGAAAATTTGGTTCCCTTACTTAGTATCTCGTTTAGTCCAAGACACCAAGAACTCTTGCCTGCAATGGCAACATGCTGTAACCACCCAACCTGTGTCCCTTCTCCTGCTTTCCATCCCCCTCCAAATCATTCTCCTGCACAGCTACTAGAATTATATTTTTGAAAATATACATTCAGTCATATTGGGCTTTCTTCTTCTGCTATACTCCATGCAATGGTTTCTCATTATACTTTATATCAAACATTCAAATCCTGAACATGTGCTATGAGGTTATACATGATCTAGTTCCTGCTACCTTTCTGATTTTCCCATTTGTTTCCACATAGGCAGACCTTAGGTGTGCTTTTCCCTTAGACAGAAATGCCCTTTTCACCATTCTTGGCTAGCTATTTCTATTTGTTACTCAGGCCTCAACTAATGTCCATTTCTTCAAAGAGAACTTTTATAACTACAAATTTAAATTGTATCTTCCCTAATATTTTCATTTTTATTCTAGCTCTTTTACTTTATATTAAACACAATTTGTGTGTGTGTGTGTGTGTGTGCTGTAGCTCATTCATTCAACTACGTTTATTGCAGGCTTTATGTTTAGCACTGAGTTGGCTCTAGGGATACCAGGATGTATGAGTTATCAGAAAGTTCAATGTCTAATGGTGAAAACAGGACTCAAGTGCTATCAGAAGGCACTTGGATGTTATATTAAATCAGATTTTTTTTTTTTTTTTTACTTTTTAAGAAAAGAGAAGTCTTCTGTATAAATACCAATCACTGACAATCACTGAAACAAAGCCTTAATGTAAGCTGGTCTCAAAAGGCCCAGGATCACAGGATTTTTAGAACCAGGCTTTTGGAATTGCTAATATAACTATCATGGCTAATCTCTCATCCTGTGAGGGATGGAGCCTAACAGTGATGATTTTATAATCTTCTAGCCTCTAGGAGTTTGATACTAAATCTGTGTTAATTGTCGAATCACTAGATGATCTGACATCCCACATAGTGGGCCCTCTGCCTAGACTGTTTGTCTCTTATTTTCCTTGAAGACCTACTCCTATAGGTCCTTTCCTCATATTCCATGTCCACAAATCTGTGCCCTTTAATAATATTGTAATCATATTTTTACCTTTTGCTTCCCATATTAACTTCTTTAAGATAGAGTTTGCATCATTATTTCTATATCTTTATTTCAATGGTGGGCAAACAGGCATGTAATAAATTTTTATTGCATAATTGGAAGGAAGGATGAAAGGTATTATATTCTGTTTTTACATTGGAAAAATTAGGAATAGCCATGAACTATAATCTTGAGAACACAATGACATATTCCTTAACATTTTTGGAGGAAAAAAAACCCAAACCCAAACAACACAAAAGTCAAACAAAGAAAGCAAACAAGCAACAATAACAAAAACAAAAAAACAAGTAGAGATAAGTTTTACCCTGTGCCAACATTGTTTTAAAACTCATTTGTTGGAGCTTCCTGGTTTAGAAGGAAAATTACTAAGAGTAGCAAAGTTTGAGACCAACTTCCACCCAACTCTGTGCTGTTTTTCTCTTGGATATGTCATATGTTTTAGTCTTTTATTGGCTAACAGCTCTCCCTCTCCACCTCAAATAGATGGTTAACTGGGACCCTGCCTAGGACCTTCTGAGACTCTTCTGAGGATGGGCTGAAAATGTCCAGTAGAAAACCTAGGAATTCTGATCTACTTTGGGGGTGTGAGCAGGAATATTGACCAATCTCTCCCTGAGATATAAAGATTTTTGAGATTAGCCCATGCATTGGGAAGGCTTCTGTCCCTAAGGGAATTCTTTGTCATGTGAACAATACCACCAAGATGAGAAATACTTGAGATGTGACCTCCTCCGTGTGTATATCCTTTTTCAGTTAATTTTTGAAGCATGTATCCATGCTGACATTGTGATACGTATACCTGTAAGGTCATCAGTGGGCCACGACCCCAGCTGGCACGCCTTGCAGGTGTATTCATCAAAGACATATTCATTCTCTTTACAGGGTGTACAGGTCCAACAACAGCTGACTTCTCCCTTCCGGATCACCTAAGGTAAATATTTAAAGTTTTGATTATTTTTTTGTATAGATGAAAATCCAGCAATCTGTTATTCAAATATGCTGTTTGCAAAGCAGAAATGGCTTTAACATAAATTATTTCAAATGTTATCAAATAGGTAGTGTGTTTATTAATATTCTCATTTTATAATCACAGAAACTGAAGCTGAGTTTAAGCAATTAGTCCCACATCATAAAATTGGTTGGTGACAGGGTTTAGAATTAAATTAAATACAAGTCTTTGAACTGAGAACAAACTGAGGGTTGATGGGGGGTGGGAGGGAGGGGGGGTGGGTGATGGGTATTGAGGAGGGCACCTTTTGGGATGAGCACTGGGTGTTGTATGGAAACCAATTTGACAATAAACTTCATATATTGAAAAAAATAAATACAAGTCTTTGGGTACTTAGCTTTAGATATCTATATTTAATGAAACGTCTGTGTTTGTACTTATATATAAATACACACTCATTTACACTTGTATGTATATAACTGAATTTTCCCCAGAGTCTTCTGTTTTCCCTCAAATTAAAAACTTTTGCTCTCTAAATTTATCTTGGCTCCTTCCATCAGTTGAATAATTGTTAGCAAGAAACATTGTATACCTGCTAAATTCAAAAGTCTACTTATATGATAAAAAAATCCTCAGGAATTCCTATTGAATTAAGAGACTCAACATGAATTTTTTTTCTGGAGTTCATCTCTTGGTCTCTATTTCTAATGAAAATCTGGTTCAATAATTCACAGCCCATTCCTTCCTATTCTAGTAGCTTTGATTTGCTTGGGATGATGGTGGATAAGGTCATTGAGACTATTATATACCTCTTCATCTGTTTGATTTTTTTAAGGCAATGGAAAATAATTGAAATAATTTAACAGTTGAAGGAGTCCCAGATGTTATTCTTTAGAAATGGATGTCTTTTATTTTTTTTCCACCACTGGTGCATGAATAGCCTCTGTGGAATAGAGACAGCATTCATTAAACATTCTTATAAATAATTAAAACTGTGATTAATAACCAGCAATAACCAGACACAGCAATGATTACACTGCATATTCCTTGTCCTCCATGCTGACTCTATTAATGACCTTCAATAGTAACAGTGTCTAGATATCTGTAGCCATATACAATTGTAAGCTGGCACCTCTTATATATTTCCTATCCCTTTTGCCGACTCTTGACACTGCCACCACACAAGTAGAGAATGACAGAAGGGTCTGAATGGTCCTTTCCTTAAAATAAACAGATAAGTAAGACAGCGTTGCTAATTAGACCTGCTTAATCTACCTAAAGTAGTCTTCATAATAATACTGACTAATGGCTATTTTCTGCATGCCATATACTGTTATCTCACTAAAACATTAGAGTAGCTCTGTAATAAGATGGTTGGTTTTATTTTATTCTTTTTTTTTAAGGGGAGAAAACTGAAGTGTGGTGAGCTTAGATAACACATATGGGCAAATGAAGGATCAAACAATGCCTGTTGGACTTCAAGACTCATGTTCATAAATGTTGTGCCTTATTGGTCTATATAGAGTTCAGGGGGTGGGAAGATGGGTTAAATAGGTGATAGGGATTAAGGAGTGCACTTGTGGGTGATGTGCACCTGGAGAGGTATGGAATTGTTGAATCACTATGTTGCATACCTGAAACTAATATGCTCACTAACTGCAATTAAAATAAAAACGTAAAAACAATAGAGTTCATGATATTTTGAAAGATGCAGTGCAAGAGTCCTGGACTTGAGAATCAAGAGGCACCAGGGTTCTGGTCTTACTTATAGCCAGTAAATAGTTGTGTAGCTTTGAACAGTTCCACAGCTGATTGACTGACTTCTTCAAACCAAGACCAGTGCTTTACATGTAATATCTAGCTTTATAGGGTTTCCTGATGATTAATAGCACAGTGATTTGTAAACTGTAGGACACTCTAACAATGTTAACTGTTTTATTAGTAATATGCATATGAATATTTATATAGAGAAAAAATGTCATTTTAAGGTAATTTCAACCATACTTTAAAACTATTGTTGGACAATTATTAGATTTTGTAATGCAAACAAGCACATCTGAAATACTGAAGGATTCTCTTTCTTAGGAGGGCATGGCAAACAAAGCAGCTGCATTTTTTTCCTTCTAGAAATATGCTCAGTTCCTGTGCTTTAGTTTGCATTGGTTTGTAAATTTCATTTTTTTTTTACCAAAATAAAATCATTTCCTGTTCTAAGAATAATTCCAATATTATAGTCTTTTTTTTTTTTTTACATCAGTGGTGACAACTTGGTATTTCTTCTGTTTAGAATTGATTTTACTTTTTTTTTCACATATTATATATGTTCTGTTTCACATTCATGAAAAGGTAGTGACAATTCTGTAACATCGTGACTCCCATTCTTTTTGAAGATCCTGGAAGTAGCTGTGCTTTCTTTGTGAATAACAATATGTAACATATTTGAACCTTTGCTAGACCAAGTGTACTTGCATGGACGCTAAGTTAACAAATCTGAAAGATGGCATGAGATGTTGACATCTTTAATAAAATTTCTCAATGACAACATTAAGCCATATTAAGAAAATATTGTCACTTGTATATTTAATACAGTGAAAATAATACGTGATTAGGAAAATAAAATTTGGGATTAACAAAAGACTAAACATTAAAAAATAACTAGTATTAAAAATATGATAACAGGGAGTCAAATTCTTCCATTGTGTAAGTTATTCCCAGTAGAATGGGGTAGAAAAGTACATATAAAAAAACCTCACAAATCAGCCATTCAGCATTTTGAAGTTACAGGTTCAAACTGTATTGCTGTGAAAGGTCAAAACAAACAATGTCCATGTGGTAATTTATCCAGGCTAATCTTTCTACAGGAGGAAATGGAAATTATGAACAATCAATATTCTGAGCGAGTCTAAAAATAATTTCACATACAGAATCTAATTGCAAGATGACTGGGCAAGATGCAGCCTGTCACTGAATATTAAAGGTTAGGAAACTTTTTCTGCAAAGTAAATATTTTTGTCTTTGTCGGCCATACAGTCTCTATTTCAACTCAACTGATAAATTCCATTTATTGTAGCACAAAAGCAGGCATAGACAACACATAAACAGATGAGCATGGTGTACTTCAATAAAACTTTATTTACAAAAACAAGCAGTAGGCTGGATTTGGCACATGGGTTATGTTTTATTAACCTGTGTTGTATACCATATCAAAACATACAGAAATATTTAGATACTCCATAAGCTATTGTGCCATTTAGCAGATAATATGAATGTCTATTTATCTTTATTTACCTTGTCTTTCTTCCTTCTGGTCTTATGCTTACCAAATCTTCAGAACTACCCCTTGAAGGTTTTACAGTTGACACTGAATTATTTCCATTTAATTTGTAATCACCAATGAATAAACACCTCAAATGTTCTAAACAGAGTAAACATGAGATTGACTGAAAAGACCAAGGCTGACTGCTCCAGGTATATACACTGCCTGAAGTGTGGTAGTCTAGTACTTCAATAAATATTTGATGAATAATTTGATATCATTTTTCTTCCCCTAGGGCATTATACCTCAATAGCTAAACTTCTTTTATTTTTATTATATCTTCATTCTCTCTTTCACTGACTTTTATTTTTATTATATCTTCATTCTCTCTTTCACTGACTTTTTATTTCCTGGAAGTGTGGCCAGAACTCACTTAGCCTAAAAGTAACTTTTCAATGTCCTTAACTATCATACATGCCCCTTAACTGCTTTTCATCACATACTTCTTCTTGCTCAGTTACCATTCTATTGTTTTAATCTACAAGCTTCTGTTTCCAGAAGGCCCAGGTGAAGGGCTAACCCTAATTTTCTTGTCTTTCCCTCAGTGCTTCTCTTCCTTGACCTCTCTTTTCCACTGGCTACCACCTTGCATGACAGCTTGCTTTCTGGTTCTCTATCTCTCCCTGGCCCTGTTGTCCCTCATTCCCTACCTTTTCTTCTTCCTTTAGGCTTTTTTTAATGTTTATTTTTGAGAGAGAGAGAGAGACAGAGTACAAGCAGGAGGGGGCAGAGAGAGAGGGAGACTACAGAATCTAAAGCAGGCTCCAGGCTCCAAGCCATCTGCACAGAGCCCAATGGTGGGGCTCGAAATCATGAGCCGTCAGATTATGACCTGAGCTGAAGTTGGACACTCAACTGACTGAACCACTGGAGGGACCCTCCCCTTACCCCCTTTATGCTTTCAAAGTATATCTTCAGTGTCTGTTCTTGGTCCACATTTATTTCCTCTGTATACTTTCCGGTTCAGTGACTTACCTACTCTAACAGCTCCAACTTTAGCTCTATTCAATTCACTCTGTATCTTCAGCCTTATTTCTCATTGTTGTAGACCAATGTTTTCTATCACTGGATAGATATCTCAAAACCAATAGGCTGCCAAATTAACCCATTGCCTTTTCTCTAAAACCATTTCCATTTTTCTATGCTTGACTTTCTAGTTACTAAGACTTGAAATTGCAGTTGTCTTGGACTTCTTTTTCTTCTCCAATCTGACCTCCAGTTGGTAGCCAGCGTTGATTAAGTATACCTATATATATATATAATGTTTCTCTCAAATACTTCTCCTGTTCCCTCTCCATTCTCACTGTTTCTTCCATAATGCAGGATTCTTGTTATCACTATCAGTGTCCTTGCTTGTCTCTTCTTTCTCTATTCATGTTTATAACTACTTATGCATCTTTACCTACTATAGCCTAGTTTATGTCAACATCTTTGTCAAAATTATCCTGACTCCTGGTTAATAAAAATTAAGTTCAATCTGCTTAGTATGCCATTCAAAACTCTCCACAATATGGCTTCAATTTATCATTTTGACTTTCTCTTTTATAATAACCATTTAAAGCAATGAACTCTAGATTATTCACTATTATTCCAGAACATTCTTCAATCGACCACTTCTGTATCTTTCCTATTACTGTTCCCTCTATGTAAGTGATCATTTTCCCACATCTCGCTCTGAAATCATATCCATTCTTCATGGTCCAATGTCTAACATTTGACTCAGAAGTAATCTCTCCCATTCTTTTATGTGAACTTAATGAAATCATCACATTTTATATGATGTTGCTTATCTGTGCCTTATGGTACTTTTCCTCAGCTAGACTACAATTCTTCTGGCAGTAAATGTGTGTTACTTATTTTTTCCCCACTGATATAAACTATTACATTTGTAATAGTTTGACAAATATTTGTTAAGTTAATTAGGAATTAATGTGTTTTCCAACTGCTAACTATCTATCCCCAGGAGCATGTCCTTAAAAGGCTTACATGAGTACAAAGAGTGTGGATAAATATGACTCAACTGTCAATTGGTTCAATCAGTCCAATTACTAAGACTACTATAGGTCATACTATCAAAAGGAATTAATGAGAGAAAAGTAAAAAAAAAAAATTTTTTTGACGTTAGAAGCTTATAATGTAAAAGGTAAGACAAGTATCTAAAAGTTACAGAAATAGCCAATGACAGTGAATACTTTTGAATTTACAAAACAATTTAAAAAACATGGACTTTATTTTACCTTTATCTGGCCTTTCTCACATGGTTCACTGCAAACGGATCTGATGATGTTGTTTTTCTTGGACCATACTTCATCATCATCCATTTTTAATTCTCCATTATCCCAGCTTCCAACATTGATATAATCAAAATAATCTTTTCCCATTTCCTTGAAATTCATTATTTCATACCTTAGGAACAAGAACATAATGATTATTCAGCTAAGAATATAAGTATTCAGCTATGAAAAAGCAATAGATTTCATTTCCCAAAAACGTATCTACTATCATATTAGTGACACTGGAATTTTCCATGACAGTACACTTAGAATAACAAAAAAGCCTGTCTGCCTCACTTTACTTTAAGAGACTGTTTTTTTTGTTTGTTTGTTTGTTTTTTGTTTTTTGTTTTTTTTTTACCATCAAGCTTATACATGAAATAGAAGATAATCCCATGTGAGAAGGTGACTTGACCTCAGCAGGATGAAAAACAGTTTTGAAATAACTTCAAGAGGTTTAAACAAGTACTACTGTTAGACTTCTAAAAAAGATAGAAAGGTTTTTATCTCCATTCAAATAAAATGACAAAATTTTCCTTTACTAGCCAAGTAACAAATTTGGTAAATGTTTAATCCTGTCTTCAGCTGTAGGGAATGTGGGGATAATCTGGATAGGGACTGATTTTACCTTTATTATTTTACACTTTATCAGTGGCTAAGTCGTTGTCTAAAGAGACTATCAGGAGTGGTATTTAAAATAAATCTGAAAAGAATTTATGAGATGGGAAGATGGTGGCAGAGTAGGAGGATCTTAGGCTCGTCTCATCCCACAAATACAACTACATTAACTATCAAATCATCCTAAATACCCCAGGGATTAACCTGAAGACTGGCAGAAAAAACTCCACAAATAAGGGAGAGAAGAGGCCACATTGAAGAAGGTAGGAGGTGTGGAGATGCAGTCTGGGATAGAAATGGATCATAGCTGCTGTGGTGTGGTGGGAGGAGTTGCTGTTGTGGAGATGCGACAGATAGGCTAACACATAGGGGAGTGCACAGGGAAAATGAAACCCCATAACAATTGGCTTGGAAAGTGAGAGGGGCTGAATTTCATGAGTTTTTGCAACCAGTGGGGCTTAAAGCCTGGGGTTCTAAAGGTCAGCAGACTTGGCTCCAGAAGGATAGAGGGGGCTACTCTTGGAGAGAAGGCAGGCAAACAACTCATGGACATGTAGCATGGAAACAGTGAGCTGAAGAGCACCTGGGGCACACAGTGGAGAGGTATCTGCTCACTTTGGAGTGTGTCCCAGAGAGGCAACATTCACAGAGAGGCTCTTCCAGGAACAAAGGAACTGGCAGGCACCCTTCCCCCATACCACCCCTCAGCATAAACACAGAGCTACCTGTGGTAAGCAGCCCAACACTGACACTCACTACCTAACTTGCTTACACCAAGTCATTCCCCTGCAATCCAGTGGAACTGCCCTTCCCAGTCACCCTTGCCTAAATCCCATCTTGGTGGTCCCCCTCCCCAAGAAGACTGGCCCAAACCCCTGCTGACACCCCATCTCCTGACCCAGGAGTTTTGTGGGGCCTTGATTCTGGAGGTGGTGGCAAAAGGTCTCATTTCACAAGCAGACCAGACCATACTTACTCAAAATGCACCACATTCAGTCTGGAAACCAAACACTGCCCACAACAGACAAAGATAACCTCTATAGATGATTGGCCTAAAGGATAAAGCATCCAGGGCACAATAGCAGACCACTGGCAGCACACACTGGAGATACTCCCTGAAGTGCCAGTCCCTGAGGAACAGGGGCCATTGTATTGTAGAGCACCACAAGACCTTTTCTTCATAAGGCTATTACCCTCAAGAACAAGAGAAGTAGCTGAATTTCCTAACACAGAGAAGCAGTCACACAGACTTTGACAAAATGAGAAGACAGAGGATACAGGACAAGGTCATGGCCATAGATCTGAGTGAAACAGATAAAAGTAACATGCCTGGTACAGAATTTAAAGTAATAAACATAAAGATATTCACTAGACTTCAAAAAAAGAGTGGAAGACATGAATGAGACCCTTAACACAGAGATGAGGAATAGCATAGCAGAGATAAAAGGTTCAATAAACTAAAAGAGAGGCACATTGATAGAGTGAATAGCAGACTGGGAGAAGCAGAGAAATGAATTAATGACCTAGAAGACAGAGTAATGGAAAGTGATCAAGCTGAACAAAAGAGAGAATGAAGATTTATGCAAAATGAGAATATACTTAGGGAAATCAGTGACTCCATCAAATGTAATAACACTCATATTATAGGGATCCCAGAAGAAAAGAGAGAAAAGGAGCCAGAAATTTTATTTGAAGAAATAATAGATGAAAACTTTCTAACCTGGGGAAGGAAACATCCAGATCCAGGAGGCACAGAGATCTCCCAACAAAATCAACAAAAGCAGATAAACAACAACCACAAAACAAAAAATAAAATGACAATAAATACATATCTATTAATAATTAAATGTAAATTGGAGGGAGAGGGAAGATGGCGGCGTAGGAGGACGCTGGGCTCACCGCGCGTCCTGCTGATCACCTAGATTCCACCTACACCTGCCTAAATAACCCAGAAAACCACAGAGGATTAGCAGAACGGAGTCGCCGGAGCCAAGCGCAGACGAGAGGCCCACGGAAGAGGGTAGGAAGGGTGGCGAGGCGGTGTGCGCTCCAAGGACTGGCGGGAGGGAGCTGGGGCGGAGGGGCGGCTCGCCGGCCAAGCAGAGCCCCCGAGTCTGGCTTGCAAAAGCGGAGGGGCCTGATGGACTGTGTTCCGACAGCAAGCGCGACTTAGCGTCTGGGAGGTCATAAGTTAACAGCTCTGCTCAGAAAGCGGGAAGGCTGGAGGACAAAGGGAAGGAGAGCTGCTGAGCCCCCTGACGACAGAGCTCAGTT